GTTGGGGGGGGCAAGGGAAAGTGGTGGGGGGAAGACAGAGACAAATGTATTTGAAAAGTAAATAAATTAAAAAAAAAAAGAATAAAAAAAAGAAAGAAAGAAAGAAGACACAGGGCAGGTGGAGCTGTGAGCCTTATGCAGCCTTGGAGCCAGGGGCCTTCTTTGGGCCTGACCTTGGTGCAGCCCCACCCAGCCCAGTTCTGAGGGTCAAAGACGAGGACCATGGCCGCTCCCCCTGAGGCTCCACGCCAGTCACTGCAGTTTGCTGAGCCCAGGAAGTCTTAAGAGATCCACTCCTGGGGTTCTGCTTTCCTGACTGCCACCTCTATGCATGTAGGACTTGAAGGGGACAGGGAAACAGACTTGTCCACACTCAGAGCCACGGAGGACAGATCCACCCTGCTGACAGTACAGTTCCCGCCACCTGGACCTGCCTTTACAGGGCAAAGCCCGGCTGCAGGGCGATGTGGGGGCCTGGGAGGCAGGCCTCCTACAGAGAAGCAGAGAGTCAGTGAGGGCAGGGATATGCTCTACAGAGGCAGGGTGCCCAGCCATGCCACAGACACAGCTTCAGATGTGTCACTTGCCCTCCCTGGGCCTCACTTGTCTCCTGGTGAGATCAGGACATCATTCTTTCAGGACCATTCTTAGAGGGGTGAGTTGAGAGAATCAAAAACTGGAAGAGATGATGCGCTTTGTAATGACGAAATGCCATGTGCCCTGTAAACCCGGTCAACGAGAGCGCCTTCCAAACTATCATGAGATCTGTGCAAGACAAAGTCCTTTGCACAGTGCCACATGCCCAATAAATCACAAGGGCTCGGAAGCTGTGATGTGCCTTGTAACCTGCAAAGTGTCTTGTGAACTGCTTTCTACCCAAACTGGCCGACAGACCTCCTCCAAAGCACTTTGTAAGCTGGAAGCCCTGCAAAGTGCTTCATAAACTGCAATGTACCCTATACCCCACAGAGCACTTTGTAAATCACAAGACACTCTGTAAATGACAAAGCACCTTATAAACTTTTAAGTGCTCTGTTAAGGGCAGAATACATTACAAACTGGAAAGGCAGAGTACTATGTACATGCCCATGTAATAGTCAATAGGTTTTATAAGCTGTAAAGTGCCATTCATATATGATGGGAAGCTGTTCACATTTGTGCCATTTGGTGACACAACTACCTCTTGCCCACCTTTGAAGAGGAAGGAGGGGGCTGAGAGGGAGCAGGGGGTGGGGGGAAGGAAGGAGTGGGCCAGGGTGCAGGGTCGGGAGCTGTGCTGGGGGCCCATGCACATCTCAGATGCCCCTGCCAGGACCCCTCTAAGGGTGGGGATGGGCCCAGTGCCCAGAGAGGAGCCCACCTCCACCAGGCCCTCCTGCAGAGATGCTGCCCTGAGCTCCCCTGACCAGCTGCTCATGCCAACCTCCTCCCTCAACCCAAGGAAGCCCACCTTTGAAGCGTGCCTTCAAAGGCCTTGCGAACCCTGAACTCCAGTACCTCCACAGCTCCTGCAGAAGAGGCATCAAGCCAGGCCCTGGGAAGAGCATGTGAGCTCTGTGTGTGCACAGGGACAGGGCATGGCAGAGCTGGCCCTCAAACCTCCCTCTCTGTCCTAAGTTGCCTCCCCACCTCCACACCCAGGTAGCTGTCTCTACCCAACCATGGCGGTTCTCATGCAAGACTCTGGTTGAGCGCAGGGGTTTGTGGCACTGTGAGCCTGTGGCTGACCTGCACTGGGTCAAACCACTTTGTTAGGGGACCCAGATACATGTGAAGTATAGGCCAGGCCTGGATGGTGAGATAGTACTTGCCAGCTTGCAGAGAGAAGAAAGTAGAAACATGCCAGAGTGAGGAAACGCCCAGGCTCTTCCTGTGTTAGGCTGTCACTGTGGATCCGTTCAGGAGGGGCCCTGGCCAGAAGTGCAGGAGTAGACCCTCTGCTGAAGGATGAGCAGGCAGTGGATAAGCAGGGGAAGGTCATGCTGTGGGCGGCTCTGTGACTTGATCATACAGGCAGCGGGGGGGTGGGAGGGTGCCGGGGCAATAAAAGTTCTTGAACTGGTGCGAAGCTTGATTAGAGTTGGTCTTCACTCGTGAATCTGGAAGGGACTGAATCAGGACTAACCAGGTTGTCATAAGCTTGTCACAGGAGCACTCAGTATGGATGAAAGCAGTTTTAAAGCCACCTCTCTCCTATACTGGGAACTTGGATGAGCTAAGTGGGCCGAGATTACCTTCCCAAAGTGTGGACCAGGGCCTCAGAAACAGGGGGCTGACCTTGATGCCTTGGTGAGGTGGGCTTCATGTCTGATATGGGCCAGCATTTGTTGACACTTGCCTTTCACTGAAGTGAGTACAAAGGTTTTTGAAGTTGCTGGAGGGACTGGCCTGTTGCAGCCCCCCAGATGGCTTTTCTACTTAGCCCTGATGAAGGACGGTCTTGGCATCCATCTCTAGATCGTTCTTCCAGGGAAGCACCTGGCCTACTGTCAACAGGAACAGGAGTGTTCCTGTCACCCCACAAAATGGCTGTGTGGCCCCACTGTCCTAGTAACTCACATTCCTCTGATGTCCCTGTCACTTGATTCATTTGTTCATTACTCACTCATACCTACTGAGAGCCATGCCACGTTACTAAAATCAAATCCTCCTCTCAGTTGACTGGAAGCAGATTCTTAGAGCTGTGAACCCTGCACCATTCCAAGCAGCAGAGGAAATGACTTCTTCTGTGAGAGTTCAGGGAGGGCTTCCCAGAGGAGGTGACATGGGAACCTGGCCTTGAAGGATGAGCAGAAGGCCCAGCAGAAAGGGAGAATGAGAAAGCACTCCTGGAAGTGTCTAAAGTAGGCAAAGGCAAGGTGTGCTTTGGGGACTGCGGGACATGATAGCTGTGGATTTAGTGAGGCTGTCAAGAGGGCTGTTAGAAAAATGTGCTGGAGGTTTGGGGTTAAGCTCTAAAGGGCCTTTGGTCAGGCATCTCTCCCGGGAGTTGGGGCTCACCCTGCAGAAGCTGGGGAGCCACAGACTGGCTTTAAGCAGGAGAGACAAGGTCAGAGCAAGGAGGATGAGCCCACAGGTAGTAGCATGGATAGAGTGGGAACAGGTGAGGCTGAAAGCAGGGAGGCCAGGGAGGAGACCAGTGCCCTGGAGGGGCCACTTCAGGCTTAAGGAGCTGGCTGTAAGCTCAGGGCCCATAGTGTTTATTCCTGGAACCTAGCTCAGGGAGTGGGTGCTCAGCGAATACTCGTGATGTGAGTGAATGAATCAATGAATGAATGATGAAATTTAGGTGAACCACTCTTCTTTCTGTACTTGCCCCCCTGCACTTCCCAAGTACCCTACGCCACCCATAGAGCCCAGGGACTTCCTCCCCATCTATCCTGGGTGGGGGCCCTGCAGGGGGGCCTGGAGGAGCCCATCAGCCTGGCCCACCCCTACCCTCGGGGGTAGCGGAGATGAATGGCAGCACCCCCAGGCTCAGCCCAGACACCTCCACAAGCCACCTGAGGACCTGACTTCTCAAAGGGCCTCAGGTAGGCCCTTGCCCTTGTTTCCAGTGCTGTGATGCGAAGGGTCACTTGACTTTGTGTGTGTGCTCCCCATGGGGCAGGGTGGCCAAGTGAGCTGTGGAAGGCGGCGTTAATTTGCTAAATGCAAACATTAGGAATATACCCAGATTCTGTGACCCTGTTTTGGTATATTTCCATTTTTTATTTTTCTGGGGCCCTTGAAATGATGGAAGAGGCTCCCCTCCTCCCTCTCCCCTTGTCTCCTGTCTCTGAGATTCTCATCCCTTAAGCTAGTGACACAGCAGGAGCTCAATAAATATGAAGAGACACTAAGTAAAAGGGCCGGTCCTGTCTCTGCCATGAACCTACTATGTGCCCTCCAGCTCCCCTCTCTGCTCTTGTAGGTAAAATGGGGACCCTGAACTTCCCGTCCCCCAGGCTGCTGTGATGCTCAAAACCATCTTGTCACCCGGGAGGTGCGTGTAGGCAGTGAATGTCTGGAAAGCCTTGAGTTGTGGTGTGAAAGTGAGGAGTGACCAGGCGTGTTCATTTTCCCTGAAGTAGTGTAATACCACCCCACAAACTGAATGACCTAAACAGAAATGTATTGGTTTGTGGTTCAGGAGGCCAGAAGTCCAAGGCAAAGGTGTGGGCGGGCCAGGCTCCCACTGAGGGTGTTAAGGAAGGATCTAGTCCAGCCTCCAAGCTTCTGCTCTTGCTTAGGCTGTGGCAGCACCATTCACCTTCACATGGCCTTCGCCTGTGGGCACGTCTGTGTCCATATGCCCCCTTTTTTATAAGGATACAGCTATATTAGAATGAGGCCCACCCTGCTCTGGTATGACTTCTTCTTAATTCATTACATCTACAGTGACCCTATTTCCTGCTTTCTAGGGTACTACATGTTGGGACTACAGTACAGGAATTTGGGGGGGGGGACAAAACCCATAACACTGGTGGAAAATAAGTACATGGTGACTTATTTTCTTGGCTTCCTGTCCTCTCTCCCTTGCTCACTTAATGGTCAGCTGGGTGTACAGATGTCATGGACATAGAGTTGTGGGAGAGGGGGAAAAAGAGGGGAAAAAGAGGAAGGGTCTAATCAACGAACGTCTATAAATGACCCGTGGACATGGACAACAGGGTGGGGATTGACTGTAGGAGCGGGGGTGTGAGAGAGGCAGGGGAGAGCAATGGGGGAAAATTGGGGTAACTGTAATGGAACAACAATAAAAAAATAAAATAAAATAGAATAAAATAAAATAAAAAAGCCAGGGAAGCCAACCTGCAAAGAGTTTCTGGGTCACCAGAGGGTCAGGTTCTCCCGTCACCCACCCTCGGGAGAAGCACCTGCACCAGTTCTTCTCTAGGAACTGGAACACTGAAGGGACAGCTCTGAGTGAGGGCTGCTTGCCCAGGTACCCCCTGCTCTGGGCCCCTCTGACTGTGCCTCCACTGAACACTGCCCTCCCCTCCCTGCCTTCCCTGCAGCGGTTCAACCTCCATCCTGGCCCTGGACGACCCTGACTTGGCCAGGAGAGCGGTGTTGGAAGACATCCAAGGAAGCATGTCCTCGTTGACCATAGGGGACGAGATGGAGGAGTCTTCCCCTGAAGCAGAGAAGAAGTAAGTGGCCTCCTTGGCCCGGGGCTGAGGGGCCCTTCTGTGGTCAGCAGACTAGGCATGGCTCAGAGAGGCCACGCAGGGCTAAGTGACCTCTGGCAGTCACATCCCCTGGGCACGGGTCATCTCCTGCAATCCTTGACCTCTGGCCCATTTTATCAACACGAGGCCCAGCTGCTCTCCCTGAAGCTGCTGGCAGTGTTCTGACTGATGGAGACTGAAGCCTTTAAACTTTGTGGTGAAATCCCACAGCCCAGTCCCAGCTGTCTGTCCGAGAAGCATGGGGACTACCGGCTGTGTCCCTGCCAGAAACTTCCTAGTCATGTCAAGTCCACTAACATAGCCATGTTCACTGTGAAGCGAATCATGTTCTGCAACAGTATGAAAAATCACCCCTCTCATGAAGATAGAAAATCAAAACTGTGAGCACCTAGGAAAGTCACAGGTGCCATTGGGACCCCCAGGTGGAGCGACACCCAGAGGGCTTCAGCTGTGCAAGGTCAAGGGTCATGCCCACCTGGCCCTGGCCAAGGGCAGGGCCCAGGGCACTGTCCAGACCAGCCCTCTCCACCCATTTCCCAGCATTTGCTTCTCTCTATTTTGATTTCTAGGATGAAACAGTCTGAGGTGGATCTGCGTCCTAACAGCAAAGGCAGGAGGGGCAGTAAGAAGATAAATGACTGGAAGAAACTGGCCCCCAAGAAGTGATGCAGGCCCTTTGACCACCAGAGTGCCAGGCCTGGATGTGGCTCATCCCTTACCCACCTGGCCACCCTGCCCTGCCTCCTCAGCCCCCAACCCTTTCTCTGAGCCTCTGTGCAATAAACAAGCATGCCTCCAGCATCTGGGTGAGGCCATGGGCTAGGCTGGCTCTACAAGGCCAGAGGCCCCCACCAGCCCTCATCCAGGCCCGTCCTTGGAAACTTGGTTGCCCGATCCAGAGCTGCTTCTGTGGACAGTGAAGTCACCCCGGGATCCTTCCACTCCCAAGAAAACGAACCTGACCAGGGGGGCCAAGACAAATGGGACGTTAACCCTGGGGAGATCTGTGATGGAACTAAACTACGCCCTCCTCCCCTTCACTGGGGAGGAGTGGCTCGGGTACTGGCACAAGTGGAAAACAGGGTGTGAGAGACAAGAGGGAGAGGGGAGACAGGAGGAAAAAAGAGTTGAGGAAGAAGAGACTAAGGAAAAGATGGGGTACAGATGATGAGAAGGGAGAGCACAGGAGGAAGGGGGGAGGGAGGGGAGGAGGAAGAAATGAGGGAGGAGGGAGAAAAAAAGGCAGGTGGACAGAGAGGGAGAGGGCCATGGAGTAGGACAGAAGAGGCAGCGACAGGCCACACCTAGGGACCTTTGGTGTCCCTGGAGAGTCAGAGCCCCTGTATGCTCATGTCCCCATATAGCCCACCCTCAGTGCCCAAGATAACAGGTCTGAAGAATCCTTACCAGCATCAAAAAGCCAGAGATGGCAGCCCAGCCAGAGAGCTGACCCCTCCCTCGTGGCAGCTGAGAAGGGCAGAGAGCACACCAGCTCTGGCCCTGCTTGTCTGTGCTCCCAGAGCCATGCCTCCCGGGAGCAGGGTGAGGACCCCAGGGTGTCTGCCTGGCTCTCCAAGCCTGGGATAGCATCTCCAGGCCCTGGTCTGTGGGTGGAGCTCAGTGGCGTGCTCTATGTGTAACAACTTGCCCTCCCTTTGTAATAGATGCTTTTTTAATCTGAATTTTTTGAGGTTGAGGTAATTTTCATCCTTTGTATCATTCAAAGGCTTTTTAATGGATTATATATTTGTCCCCTAGTAATAGATTTGAAATGACAAGCTATGTTCTTAAGCCTGCATCCTTTGATACCTAAGGGCCCTGATATATGTTAGGGGTTCTGGGCATCCAACCACTCTCCCCTCCTCCCCATCTGAGCACAAGAACACACAAAAATTGGAAGGCAAGGGAAAACAAGTTCTACCTCTGTCCAGGTCAGCCTTCACATACTGGAATTATTTATAGACAGGGTGGGACAAAAGTAGCTTTACAGTTGTTTGTATGATAATAATACAATAATTAATAAATAATACTACAAGAATAAACTCTGTGTTTCGTGTCCTCACACCTGTAAACCTACTTTTGCCCCATCCTGTCTATACGATGTCTACAAGGCCTGGGGAGCCCAGTGAGTAGCGCTCCCAGATGCCGGGCAGAAGCAACCACAAACCTCTGAAGATGTTCACTCTCCACCTAGACCTCATAAAATTCCCTTGGAGAGAACCCATTTGAACATTAGCTCACAATCCAAAATTTAAAAATGTAAGCCAAAGTGAATGAAAACAAATATCAAATGTTAAGTCAAACACACAAGACTTTGGATATTGGAACTCTCAGACACAATATAAAACAAGTATGTTTTAAATGTTTAAATAAACAAAGAAAGGATCTGAAAGCCTAAGCAAAGAGCAAGATATTATCAAACAAAAAATATATGGACTGAATTTTGCTTCCAGACATGTTGGAGTAACTGGTACTGGGGTTTCCCCGGCACAACCAACCGGGACAAGAGAAACAGAGTTTGTCCTACAATCACTCCCAGCTTTCTGCCAGACATACTTTCTGAATTATGGTTCAGGGAAAGAGAATTCAAGCACAGTATAAAGTATTGCAGAACTGGGGAGAGAGATCAGAGTTTGGAGAGACAGCAGTGAGTAGAATTTGTGGGGTGGAGTATCAGCGAAAAGGGAGCTATGCAGAGAGAACTCTAGAAAATTTACATAGGGACCTCTGAGTCTTTGGCTGGATGCTAAACTGCCCATGTTGAGGGTATGGCTTCATGATGTCTGGTATAGAACTAGATTTCCACAGGTAAAAGAATGAAGTTGGACTCTTTCCTAACACTATATACAAAAATTAGCTTCAAATGGATCAAGGACCAAATGTAAGACCTAAAACAATAAAACTCATAAAACAAAGCATAGGACAAAAGCATTGCAACATTGGATTTGTCATTGATTTTATGGATATGACACCAAAGGCACAGGCAACAACAACAACAAAAAATAGACAAATTGGACTTCACGAAAAATTTTTTAATGTGTCCATCAAAAGACATTATCCAAAGAATAAACAGGCAGCTCACAGAATAGGCAAAAATATTTAAAAATCATATATTGATAAGGTATTAATATCCAGAATTTAGAGAGAACTTCTAAAACAACTTAATGCAAAATTGGGCAAAAGACTTGAATAGTCATTTTTCTAAAGGAGATATACAAATTGCCAATAAACACATGAAAAAAATGTTCATTGTCACTAATCATTAGAGAAATGCAAATCAAAACTATAATGAGATAGATATCACCTCATGCCCATTAAGATGACTACTATGAAACAGAAAACAGCAAGTGCTAATAAGGATGTGGAGTAAATAGAACCCATATGTACTGTTGGTAGAAATGTAAATTGGTACAGCTGCTATGGAAAACACTATAGAGGTTCCTCAAAAAATTAAAAATAGAATCACTACATGACCCAACAATTTCACTTCTAAGTATGTATCCAAAAGAATTGAAGGCAGGATCTCAAAGAGATATTTGTACACTCGTGTTCGTATCAACATTATTCATAATAACTAAAACATTGAAGCAACCTGTATTCATCACCAGATGAATGGTAAGCAAAATATAGTATATACATCCAATAATATTGAGCCTTAAAAAGGAATAAAATTCTGCAATGTACTACAACATGGATTAACTTTGAGGACATTAAACTGAGTGAAATGAGCCACTCACAAAAAGATAAATACTGTATGATTCCATTTTTATGAGATGTTCTAGAGAAGTCATTGTCATAGAGACAGAAAGCAGAATTGTAGTTATAAGGGACTGGTGGGAGGGGAGAAATTGTTTAATGGGTATGGAGTTTTAATTTTAAAAAATGAAAAGAATTATGTGGACTGATGGTGGTAGTGGTTGCAGAACAATGTGGATGTATTGGGTTGGCCAAAAAATCCATATGGGTTTTTTTCATAAAATAAAAGACACATTTTTCATTTTCACCAATAACTTTATTGATTTGGATATTTTGAGTTTGTTGGCTATGCCTTGCATGATATTAACATTGATTGTTCTCAATATCTTGATTTGATCACTATCAACTTCAGTTGGTCTACCCAACAGTGGAACATCATCCAGCAAGAAGTCTCCAGCATGAAATTTCGCAAACCACTTTTGACACATTCGATCAGTCACAGCACCTTCTCCGTACACTGCACAAATCTTTTTTTGCATTTCAGTTGCATTTTTACCTTTCCTGAAATAATAAAGCATAATATGCCAAAAATGTTGCATATTTTCTTACATCTTCAGTATTAAAATGGCTGCACAAAAATTCACCAATTTTGATAAGATTTTTTAATTGCAGGCTGATAGGATAGCTGTCACAAAACAATTTAACAAAATTGTTTTGAATAAAGTTAAAAACAACTAAACACTGTGTAGAGCCATCTTACAGAAAAAAACTAATGAACATTTTGGCTAACTTAGTATTTAAACCAGTTAACTGTACACTTAAAAATGCCTGAGATGGCAAATTTTATGTTATTTATAGTCTCCTCAAAAAAAAAGAAAAAAGAAAAACAAACAAAAAAATCCTGAAGGAAACATTCTTCTTAATGGAGGCACTATAAATGCATTCCGCTAAGGTTAGGAACAAGACAAGGGTAATACTGTCAACACAACTATCCAAAATATGTTGGAAATCCTGAACATTATATGGAAAGAAAAATAAATAAGGGCATCTTAGTGAATTCAGTCTGCTATCCCAAAATACCATAGACTGGGTAGTTTAAACAACAAAAATTTATTTCTCGCTGTCTGGAGCCTGGAAGGTTAAGGTCAAAGTACCAGCATGGTCAGGTTTTAGGTGAGGACCTTCTCCCTGGGCATGGTCTTCCCCCAGGGTTTGGCTTTCCTTGGCATATGGCCACACAGAGAGATCTGTCTCTCCCTTTTCCTGTCTGGGCACTAATCTCATCATGGGGGCTCCACTCTTATGGCCCCACCTAAACCTGATCACCTCCCAAAGGCTCTACCTCCAAATACCATCACATTAGGGGTTAGGGCTTCAACCTAGGACCTTGGGGTTGGGGACAAACACACAAATGTTCAGCCCATAGCAGAGAGAGAGAAGGATGCGGAAAGAAATGATGATAAAATTGTCAGTTTGCAGTGATTAATCACCTATCTAGAAAAATCAACCAAGAATCAATAGACAAACTATTAGAACTAATAGAGATTTAACAAGGTGCTGGACACAGGAACAATGTGAAAGTGAGTTTCACAGTGAGAAGCAGTGGGCCAGGCTGCACACACAGTGATACGAGGTCTTAAACACACAGCACAAGTGGATGAGAAACAGGAGATCCATAACACAATTGCTTTAGTGCCCAGGAGTGAACTGAGACAGCAGAAAGACGGAGCCCAGTGCCTGGCCACAGAGAAGATGGGGCCTCCCTGCTGCGAGCCCAGGAGGTCTCAGGAAGATGCAGAATGATCTGAGGCCCCAGTTGCTGAGGCCCCTGAGAGCCCTCACCGGGAACTCACAACTGTCTCCCTCCGAAAATCAAAATCTGCTTCTCCCTGCATTCCTCCTCCCTTCCAAGCCTTACGACTGTGGGCAAGTGACTACGGTCTCTGGGTCTCCACATCTTCACCTGTAAA